TTCTGCCAGTTTCTTCTGTATTCGATTGAAGAAGCCTACTGTGTGGGCGAAACGTTTTGACAAGAAAGCTACCTAATTGTTGCCCATATGTCTTACTTTCCTCGTTCGTATCCCGCCTTTTCCTTCCTCCTGCTTATTTCTCCTTTTCCTCCATAACCTTCTTCCCCGTCTTTCTTCCTCACCCCTCCTTTGATAAATCAAGTGTTAATTGTTAAAAATTTCTAAATTGTTATAATAGTGTTTAAGTAGCATTATATTTATACTATAGCCAGCATGTAAGTTGTAAGGAATCTTGTGTTGTTGCGAGGTACGCTTGATACTCGTGTTGACGGTGTTGCCAGCACACGGAGTTACCTCTTCTCGGTCTGTTCAGTGGTGGCGCCACTATGAGAGTGCCATAAAGTAACCTCTGGCATGCAGTGCTGGAGATAATGGTGTCTAAAAAACATTTATGCAAAGGTGAGGTAGTGGTTGGCATTATGGGTTGCCACGGCACCAGCGACCACATTATTGCCTGCCCTGAGCTCAGTAGTCTTTGTGAGTAGTCTCTGATGACTCGCTCAGTAGTTACACGAAAGCGTGGCGTACTGAAGTTGGGAATACACTCCACTTCAAAATCAGCTGATTACATTATCTCCCTTTTCTATACACATTTCTGTGTATTTTTTCAACAAAGGGGCGGTGTTAAATTTTATATCATAACGGGGCGGGGCCTGACATGGTTAGGTCAAGTATCGTTCAATATTATCAGAGAAAGAGTTGCGTAAGTGGTGTTGCCTTAGTGGAAGCACCAGACAACCTCATCACACATACCTAATAAATAAGCTTGACGTGAAGCAGAGGTGCATTAGGCACACTGAGGAGCCAAGATTATCAAGAACCTCCTCCCTAAGTGGAAATACCAAGGGGCCTCTCTCTTAGAGGAACCTGACAAACTTGTGCCAACTGTTTCTGATCATTCGCACTATGAAGTTTGTTTCTGACTGCAAACTGCAAGCACTAACGGTTTAACTGGCCCAACCGTCAGTCAGGAAGCCTGGTCTTAGACCGATCCTCGGGAGCGATGATCCCCAGAATCATGTTTCACTCACGAGGAGTTTCCGCGAAGGCTTGACAAAGCTCCTGGTGAGCGAAATGTAACCTACAATAAAGTATCCAAAACGCTGCACATGTGTTCATCTACCAAATTTATTATCTGTGTTTCGACACTTTTCATACTTTCAGAGGCTCCTTTTATTGGCAGTTTTCCCAGCATTCCATAAATATTATTTATGGAAACTGTGTCTGCCTGTGTGACAACACACGGGAAATAATTGTTCAGAATGGAATTAATATTTTGTTTTCGTTGTCGTTGTTGTGTATTTAAAGTGAACCTATCATTACTTCCACCTTTATTGTATGTGAATATAAGGGCGAGACTGGGTTTAGGGTATTTAAAGTGCCCATATTTAGGGCCACAGCAGACTGTTGTTCCGTTTATTTTTTTTATTATGGTGTGCATCTTTAAGTTGGAATGTCCTTGTTGGTAACCTGCACTGTGAGTGTTATTGTTGGTAACCTGTACTGTGAGTGTTATTGTTGGTAACCTGCACGGTGAGTGTTATTGTTGGTAACCTGCACGGTGAGTGTTATTGTTGGTAACCTGCACTGTGAGTGTTATTGTTGGTAACCTGCACTGTGAGTGTTATTGTTGGTAACCTGCACGGTGAGTGTTATTGTTGGTAACCTGCACTGTGAGTGTTCTTGTTGGTAACCTGCACTGTGAGTGTTCTTGTTGGTAACCTGCACTGTGAGTGTTCTTGTTGGTAACATGCACGGTGAGTGTTATTGTTGGTAACCTGCACGGTGAGTGTTCTTGTTGGTAACCTGCACGGTGAGTGTTCTTGTTGGTAACCTGCACTGTGAGTGTTCTTGTTGGTAACCTGCACTGTGAGTGTTATTGTTGGTAACCTGCACTGTGAGTGTTATTGTTGGTAACCTGCACTGTGAGTGTTATTGTTGGTAACCTGCACGGTGAGTGTTATTGTTGGTAACCTGCACGGTGAGTGTTATTGTTGGTAACCTGCACTGTGAGTGTTATTGTTTGTAACCTGCACTGTGGGTGTTATTGTTGGTAACCTGCATTGTGAGTGTTATTGTTTGTAACCTGCACTGTGAGTGTTCTTGTTGGTAACTTGCACTGTGAGTGTTCTTGTTGGTAACCTGCACGGTGAGTGTTATTGTTGGTAACCTGCACTGTGAGTGTTCTTGTTGGTAACCTGCACTGTGAGTGTTATTGTTGGTAACCTGCACTGTGAGTGTTTTTTGTTGGTAACCTGCACTGTGAGTGTTATTGTTGGTAACCTGCACTGTGAGTGTTATTGTTGGTAACCTGCACTGTGAGTGTTATTGTTGGTAACCTGCATGGTGAGTGTTATTGTTGGTAACCTGCACTGTGAGTGTTATTGTTGGTAACCTGCACTGTGAGTGTTATTGTTGGTAACCTGCACTGTGAGTGTTATTGTTGGTAACCTGCACTGTGAGTGTTATTGTTGGTAACCTGCACTGTGAGTGTTATTGTTGGTAACCTGCACTGTGAGTGTTATTGTTGGTAACCTGCACTGTGAGTGTTATTGTTGGTAACCTGCACTGTGAGTGTTATTGTTGGTAACCTGCACTGTGAGTGTTATTGTTGGTAACCTGCACTGTGAGTGTTATTGTTGGTAACCTGCACTGTGAGTGTTATTGTTTGTAACCTGCACTGTGGGTGTTATTGTTGGTAACCTGCATTGTGAGTGTTATTGTTTGTAACCTGCACTGTGAGTGTTCTTGTTGGTAACTTGCACTGTGAGTGTTTTATTGTTTGGTAACCTGCACGGTGAGTGTTATTGTTGGTAACCTGCACTGTGAGTGTTCTTGTTGGTAACCTGCACTGTGAGTGTTATTGTTGGTAACCTGCACTGTGAGTGTTATTGTTGGTAACCTGCACTGTGAGTGTTATTGTTGGTAACCTGCACTGTGAGTGTTATTGTTGGTAACCTGCACTGTGAGTGTTATTGTTGGTAACCTGCATGGTGAGTGTTATTGTTGGTAACCTGCACTGTGAGTGTTATTGTTGGTAACCTGCACTGTGAGTGTTATTGTTGGTAACCTGCATGGTGAGTGTTATTGTTGGTAACCTGCACTGTGAGTGTTATTGTTGGTAACCTGCACTGTGAGTGTTATTGTTGGTAACCTGCATGGTGAGTGTTATTGTTGGTAACCTGCACTGTGAGTGTTATTGTTGGTAACCTGCACTGTGAGTGTTATTGTTGGTAACCTGCACTGTGAGTGTTCTTGTAACCTGTACTGTGAAAATTTAGCTAAACTTAAATGTTACAAAACATTTCAACTGCTTTTAATCTTGGAAATATACTTCGCTTGTTCTTCCAATACATTATTTTTGTAATTAATACATTTGAAAATTATATTAAAATCTCTATAAAATTAGTTACTTTTAGCTTAAATTAATGCTTTTAATCCCCTCCCCCCATTTTTTATTTTTGTTGTAAAGTCGAAATGCTTTAAAATGCTAAGAGTGGGTTTTGCGCTTGGTTATGATTATAATAATATAAAGTAATACAAAAACGCAAACAGTTCTGAAATATCAGTGTTTCACTTCCTTGGCTAGGAAGCTTGCTGCTGTTGATAATTTCTACTGACATCTTTGTCACTACCTCAGACACAACTCCGGAGCTACTAACTGCGCACACTTTAATGATTGGTGAGCCTTTATTCAAAGAACTGGAACTGGCCTCCTCTTTTGTTTTTTGGATCTAACCTGATTACCTCCCAGTTCCCAGGGATTGCATGGCCCTTATTTGTTCATTTTTCCCCCCTGAATTTAATAAGAGGTACGCAAGGTTTGTGTACATTATACCGTGTAAGACGCAACCAGTTTATGTCGAGGCAGAGGAGTGAGTTGCCAGCATTTTGTGAACACCGTTAATTATGAGCTGCTTCGGTAAGTTAGCCTATTATTATTGATCATATACAATACCAACAAGTTGATGAATAAAAGACATGCATAACACTTGAATGTAATGTTGCCAAAATGTTTCGACTGCACAGTCAAATACAGGCTAATATAACCCTGGAGACAGTAGTAGTAGTTTTGACGTGATCAGTCTGTCAGCAGAGGTAGGTGGCCAGCCTCTCAAGCCTAAAGCGTAGGCCTGCAGTCAGACCTTATGTATTAGAGCAAAAGTGAGGTGAAGCAGCTGGAGATAGCGTCACAGGTGAGCGTGGCTTGAGGGACTCGCCGTCAATATCACACTATCTTTAGTTTTATATTCGCCTATATTCTACCGAAAAAGTTTGTTGTGTAGGCTAAACGTTTAGGCAATAATGATATCCAAGTGTTGCTCATGTCTTAGTCATCAAGTTAGTCTTTGTGTGTCTCTGGATAAGGATGAAGATGGCGTGTCGAGGAAGTGAGTCACATCCCTTAGAGCCATTGCCAACTGACCGACCTCGATAATGCGGGTAATAGTTCGGCGACTGTATGTGGACTGTTTCCTTGGTTATATAGAGTGAAGAAAGTTGTGGGCTAATTGCTGATTTGGTGTGGCCAGTGGCTGGAGAGTTGAACAGTGCTGAACACTGGCTGATAGTGCTGAGCAGTGAAGGTTAGGCGGTGGAGGCTGTCACCGCTTGTTAGGTGACACAGTATACACCATAGTAGGGGTCCACACTTGTGCCGGCCGCTTACCTGAACAAAAACGCACCTTGCTCCATTTAATGCAACCTTACTTTTGGATGTTTGTCGTTTCCTTTGTGCGGAAGATCACTGTGTGTGTATTGACCTGGATGTTTGTGGCAAGTAGAACAATCTATAGGTAACTGCGGAGGAAATGCTAAAGTGATGGCGTGGGTCGAGGTTGTGAGTCGTGTGGAAACACCTGCAGCTACACCTGTAGCCTTGATGGCAAAACAGCGACGCAATAGGCAGCAGACGTGCGGCACCTGCTATATACAACAAACACAAATCGCCGAGACTTCACTGCAGCAACAACCATCTCTGTCCATACTGGTTTACCTCAGCCGCTACTTGTGTTCACAAGCAATCACAAGCCCATCACCTCACTGACTCACCGAAGAGTTCAGCATTAGATTTGTCTCCTATTGAATTTTGGAAGGAGGAATTAGTTACGCTTGCAACATTCGCTGTCAGTACAGTGAGTTTGGCAGCTTGATAGCTCGCTCCTCCCTCCTCTCTTCTCTCTACACCATTTTTATTCCGCTCGCGGAAGAAGGAATCTTTGTCAAGTTCAGTGTTGAGGGGTCACAGGGTCAGCTGGCACTTGAGAAGAGAATCAGGATTGTGTTGAGAGCGCTATTGAGGTTTGTAGTGTGATCTTGATTGCTTGGGATCACCTTTAGAAGCATCAGAGAGGCCATTTTCGCTCACTACGACCCTGGAATCCAATCTGGCGCTCCTTCTCACCTCTCCAGCCTGGGTAAACACGCCAGAAAGTTTGCTAAGCTGGAATTGAAACTCCACGCGTTGAAAACACAGTCGATCCAGACCTTTTACAGGTGCTTTTAGAAGAACGCGAGTCTCTTACGAATCTGAGTGAAAATCAGTCCAAGACTCTTGAATATAAGCTCGGACAAGAGATTTGTGCATCCCTAAACGTGCAAGAGTTGAGAGCGAACAAGATGAGTACCCTGGTAGAATCTGCAACATGCGAGGGCTCCAACCCTCCTAGAGTAGTAGCAGAGGAGAACGAGGTGGTGCATGAGGTGGAGGTGTTGCCTCCGTCCTTCCGTCATCTGGCTCAAGACTGGAACAAGTACTTCGTCAATGTGGGTGACTGGCTTGTCAGGTGAGATACTACACTTAAGATCTTAACTCATGCTTCTCTCCACTTGAAGGGAGAGTTGCACGGTAGGCTGGAAGGTAAACTTTGTTACTTTATGAATAAAGACATGTTGCAGAGCAAGCTTTTATTGGGACAGCCTTTAGTTCTATGTAGAGCTTTATCAAGCTATGATAAAGCTTGGCTCAGAGAGCGATTTTATCCTAATAAAAGTTATCTCTGCAACGTTTCAATTCTGCACTAATGTTGCCTGTACCAAGGTAACACAGTGCTTTGAGTCGTACTTAGTAGTTTTGATGTTAGAAATGTGATTTTAGTGATAGTGAATGTATCAAGTGTTAATGTTGGATATCAAAATTTAGGAATTGCAGTATTTCTGCATTAGGACCAGAACTAACATACATTAGAGAGGGATGAAGTAAGTCCTAAGAGAACGTAGTTATGTAATCTCTCTCCAAGCAAAAGCATCTTCCTTTGATGTAGTTGCTTTGAGTGTTCTCTGCTGTCTTGTCTGGCGCTCTACCTCGGCAAGACTGAGGGAGTGAGGAAATAAGGATGGAAGGAAGGGAGATACGGAGGGAGGAAGAGAGGAAAGTAGTTCAGACGAATCTTTATTCAGATGGGATGGATATGTGGATCGACGGACCAGCAGCAGCAACAGCATGGTTGACCTGGCAAGCACCAGACGAGCCTATCCTATGGCCAGACTCCGGGAGTAGAAAAACTTCTCGAAACTCATTAAAAGTGTATACGTATATCGAAGGTAATATTAGTAACTGTTCACTTTTGGTGAGCAGTTTTAGCTTGAGTGAATTACTGTACCGAAAACCCTGATTAAATGTCTACTGTATATCTTTAAAGAAATTTTTCAAGTTTAAGAAATTCAAGATTGGTTTCTCTTTGTTCTTTGTTAATTATTGTTTTTGTCTTTAAATAAACTCATCACGGCGTCTTTGTATGTGTTGCTGTTTTGGTTCACATTGTTTTTGTCTTTGCTTTTGCGTCTGATTAGTTGTGGAATGAGTTCATTGGTATCTTTGTCATTAGGGAAACATTCTTTGTTTCCGTCTCATCGATTGCTACTTAATTATTTGATAGGGTGAAATAATTATAATACTGATAATATGGAATAATTTTAATAGTAGTGCTGTTTTTATTTTTATAATGCGTTTTGTTTTGGGGAAATTTTGTGATGAACCTGATGTTATTTTTCTTTGTTGAACATAATCTGTCTTGTTGAAAAACAAAGCAGTATCCTAGTGTTCTTACACTGTCCTTCCTGCAGCGGTATCCTAGTGTTCCTACACTGTCCTTCTTACAGCAGTATCCTAGTGTTCCTACACTGTCCTTCCTGCAGCAGTATCCTGGTCTTCTTGCACTGGCCTCCCTGCAGCGGTATCCTAGTGTTCCTACACTGTCCTTACAGCAGTATCCTAGTGTTCCTACACTGTCCTTCCTGCAGCAGTATCCTAGTGTTCCTACACTGTCCTTCCTGCAGCAGTATCCTAGTGTTCCTACACTGTCCTTCCTGCAGCGGTATCCTAGTGTTCTTACACTGTCCTTCCTGCAGCGGTATCCTAGTGTTCCTACACTGTCCTTGCAGCAGTATCCTGGTCTTCCTACACTGTCCTTCCTGCAGCAGTATCCTGGTCTTCCTGCACTATCCTTCTTGCAGCAGTATCCTAGTCTTCCTACACTGTCCTTCTTGCAGCAGTATCCTAGTCTTCCTACACTGTCCTTCCTGCAGCAGTATCCTGGTCTTCCTGCACTGTCCTTCCTGCAGCAGTATCCTGGTCTTCCTGCACTGTCCTTCTTGCAGCAGTATCCTAGTCTTCCTACACTGTCCTTCCTGCAGCAGTATCCTGGTCTTCCTGCACTGTCCTTCCTGCAGCAGTATCCTAGTGTTCCTACACTGTCCTTCCTGCAGCAGTATCCTAGTCTACCTACACTCCCTGTCTATCTATGTTCGTATTCATCTCATTCTCTTTATATCATTTGCAATGATATATAAGATTTAAATTCCCTCTGATAGGACATGTACATATATCAGGACTAGTAAGGATCCTGGTAGTTTCACATACATGTACTTCTTCACGCATAGTCACCTAGTCTTTTATTTATTTCTTAGATATTCTTGGATCAACTTCAGTGCCTTTCCTTTTATTAATGCTCAATATTCTAACTTGAGGATCGGGTTCTAGTTTATTTGTGTGTAGTCTGTAGCAGATTACGGGGATCATCGCCCCCGCAGCCCAGTTCTAGACCAGGCCTTTCAGTTGATGGTGGAAGCTTTCTTATTTATTTTATTATCACACTGGCCGATTCCCACCAAGGCAGGGTGGCCCGAAAAAGAAAAACTTTCACCATCACTGTCTTGCCAGAAGGGTGCTTTACACTACAGTTTTTAAACTGCAACATTAACACCCCTCCTTCAGAGTGCAGGCACTGTACTTCCCATCTCCAGGACTCAAGTCCGGCCTGCCGGTTTCCCTGAACCCCTTCATAAATGTTACTTTGCTCACACTCCAACAGCACATCAAGTATTAAAAACCATTTGTCTCCATTTACTCCTATCAAACACGCTCACGCATGCCTGCTGGAAGTCCAAGCCCCTCGCACACAAAACCTCCTTTACCCCCTCCCTCCAACCTTTCCTAGGCCGACCCCTACCCCGCCTTCCTTCTACTACAGACTGATACACTCTTGAAGTCATTCTGTTTCGCTCCATTCTCTCTACATGTCCGAACCACCTTAACAACCCTTCCTCAGCCCTCTGGACAACAGTTTTGGCAATCCCACACCTCCTCCTAACTTCCAAACTACGAATTCTCTGCATTATATTCACACCACACATTGCCCTCAGACATGACATCTCTACTGCCTCCAGCCTTCTCCTCGCTGCAACATTCATCACCCATGCTTCACACCCATATAAGAGCGTTGGTAAAACTATACTCTCATACATTCCCCTCCTTGCCTCCAAGGACAAAGTTCTTTGTCACCACAGACTCCTAAGTGCACCACTCACCCTTTTCCCCTCATCAATTCTATGATTCACCTCATCTTTCATAGACCCATCCGCTGAAACGTCCACTCCCAAATATCTGAATACATTCACCTCCTCCATACTCTCTCCCTCCAATCTGATATCAAATCTTTCATCACCTAATCTTTTTGTTATCCTCATAACCTTACTCTTTCCTGTATTCACTTTTAATTTTCTTCTTTTGCACACGCTACCAAATTCATCCACCAATCTCTGCAACTTCTCTTCAGAATCTCCCAAGAGCACAGTGTCATCAGCAAAGAGCAACTGTGACAACTCCCACTTTATGTGTGATTCTTTATCTTTTAACTCCACGCCTCTTGCCAAGACCCTCGCATTTACTACTCTTACAACCCCATCTATAAATATATTAAACAACCACGGTGACATCACACATCCTTGTCTAAGGCCTACTTTTACTGGGAAATAATTTCCCTCTTTCCTACATACTCTAACTTGAGCCTCACTATCCTCGTAAAAACTCTTCACTGCTTTCAGTAACCCACCTCCTACACCATACACCTGCAACATCTGCCACATTGCCCCCCTATCTACCCTGTCATACGCCTTTTCCAAATCCATAAATGCCACAAAGACCTCTTTAGCCTTATCTAAATACTGTTCACTTATATGTTTCACTGCAAACACCTGGTCCACACACCCCCTACCTTTCCTAAAGCCTCCTTGTTCATCTGCTATCCTATTCTCCGTCTTACTCTTAATTCTTTCAGTAATAACTCTACCATACACTTTACCAGGTATACTCAACAGACTTATCCCCCTATAATTTTTGCACTCTCTTTTGTCCCCTTTGCCTTTATACAAAGGAACTATGCATGCTCTCTGCCAACCCCTAGGTACCTTACCCTCTTCCATACATTTATTAAATAATTGCACCAACCACTCCAAAACTATATCCCCACCTGCTTTTAACATTTCTATCTTTATCCCATCAATCCCGGCTGCCTTACCCCCTTTCATTTTACCTACTGCCTCACGAACTTCCCCCACACTCACAACTGGCTCTTCCTCACTCCCACAAGATGTTATTCCTCCTTGCCTTATACACGAAATCACAGCTTCCCTATCTTCATCAACATTTAACAATTCCTCAAAATATTCCCTCCATCTTCCCAATACCCCTAACTATAACTTTCTTATAGTACAATATTGTGTAACTGGCTACCCGACCCTGTGGTACTGGTTGCTTGTGTAAAGAAAGGATGATGGTGCGTTGGAAAAAATCACAGCTGCTGAACCCCCCATCCCCCCCAATTCCCCACACACACTGACCACAACCACATTAATATTGGGGTCGAGCTGATAAACATGAAGACCAACGGTGACTCCAGAATATAATTATGATTAAAGTAAACAGCTTTTCAGTTGGGCTACGACTTATTCTTCTGTATTTAGCACCTCGATATTTATCAGGAAACGAAAATTCCACAAGTAGATTGCCAGAGCACTACGAAATGTCCACAGTAAATAACTCAGGGATGCATAAATGTAATAAGTACATTAAGAGATATGTGTAAAGTGCTAAGACTTTAACATCTTCCTTTTATATACAAGGGGAATTATCTTTAAAATGTAACGTGATAAGATTCTCAAGTAAATGCCTAATCATTCGGACTATGGTGCTTACTTTGGACTACGTACACCTAGCACCAATAGCCTCACTGGTCAGGTTATCAGCTAGGAGGCTTGGTCTGGGACCAGGCTTCCGGGAGAGTGTTTCCAAGAATTAGCTGCAGGTAATTTAAAGGTGACAGATAATCAGGGTCGATTTCACGTCTCAGATCGTGAGGTACACGTGTTATCCACAGTTGTAGGCTGTGTACACAAGTGTAGCGGGAAGAGGGGGTTGAGGTTAACACCTGTAATGAATGAAGACCCTCCACACGTGTGTGGAGGTCTCGTTGTACGCCGTTATGTATAGCTGAAACAAAAAAATGTA